ATTAGACACGTGAGAGAAAGGCTGTGTTTAATCAAAGCATCTGATTTCCTCCACCTTCCAGTGAACATCACAGCATAATGTTTATACGGCACAGACGGTGTGACGAGTAAGTATGTGATGAGAACGCACCACATAGACTTTCAATAATTTTTCTATCGTTAGTCCCTGCAAAAGTGTCCCCACTTTGAGAGCAATAACCTACTGTTTGGTAGAAAAAAGTGCCACTATACTAACGTTTTTAGTAAAATGGTCACATTCGGGCGGACACTTACGGTGGTGGTATACATCGTAATGTGTTTCGTTTGTCTTGACTACCAATCGTCCCATAAAAGAAACTTCTGGAAGTCTTATATGAAGAAGACACGTTTGGGCCGCTACAAACAGAAGGTCAGTGTTGTTAGATTCTCATATGCCAGTTTTCATTTAACGCAAATTGAAATTGGGCGTTTCTGTTACAGAAAAGATTTATTAAATTACCGCTCGTCGAATGAATGGCGTGAAACTTACAGCAATTGACCGGACAAGGAAAGGCAAAGTGCACAAGGGAATTCAGACGGCATGTTCCATTGACGGCAACGTATATGTCTGTATCCACGGCGAAGTAGAGTTTCTATTACAAAAGCAAATATTTTGTTACGAAAGGAGGTCGGGATTCAGTTGAACGGCAGAATATGTAAGTACTTCGGCGTCGCCTAACTCGTATCGATCTTACCGATGCTTCATTGGAAATAGGCACCTCTATGCTGTATGGACCGTCTGACTGAGGAATTTGATGATTTGTGAACGTCTTCTGGATAGCATTCTCGGCTATAAATGATAAAGAGTATACCCCCGTGCAAAATTTGCACCAGAGGCTTTAATTGTTCTATATATAGGAATCGTTTTAAAAAAAGTTAATGCGTTTTTGTTTAACTGTTTTTTTAAATATAATTAAGTGTTTGGTGCGTAGATTTTTATTCTTCTGTGTGTGTCACAAAAAATCGCGAAATGAACTTGCCTCTTATGAGTGATATTAGCAACACAATAAGACACATTACTGGAAACGCCTCGCGCAGAAGACAATTCATTTTGGGTAGTAAGTTTAAAACGGACTGCCTACTATTTAAGTATGATTGCGTGAACCATACTCAGGTGATCTAGACGAGGTCATTCAAGTGCGTCAACCTATGACATTTTGCAGAAGGCCACAAATGAAAAGTGGGATAGCTAGCTGTCATGTAGGAAAAAGCAGAAAAAAGATTAGCACCATGTTTATCAGAAGATGTCTGCACTTTATGCACCATAGTTGATCGTTAAAAAACACAAATCCCGGAACTTTCCATCTAGGATGCAAACACAGGTCACTGCAAGTATCTTCGTCGGTGTCCACAAATTACCCTGTTTACTCGTTTCGGTTTTATATTTTGACCTCTCCTCCTGAGTACACATAATGAACAGACTTATCGACTTGTGAGCTAGATGAAATAATTGTCCACCTCAGGACTAAAGTCAAGTGGTTTCACAACTCCCATGGTTAATCATAACTAACGAGGACAAATGCTGCGAAGTCATCGTCATTAAATTTTTAACGTCACGATTCTGCTTTCCAAAATGCATAAATCGTGCTCGACTTGACTACTCTCAAACGTATGCTACGCCGCCAAATGTATTCGTAAATTTTGAACTTTACCTTCTTGAAAGGCGTCACCTTTCCTTACAGTGTACAATAAAGTCATCGAAAGTGGAATAGTGTTCTTGAGAGCGCATACAGAGTCACCGCCCTTGGCGGCCAAGTCGACCGCGTGGAGTCAGGCAGCCAATCAGAGTGTAGTGCATTGTCGATCACGCGTGGTATATTTGCTCACGTCTGGTCAAAAATCAATAATCTGCCGGACGTTCTAGTTTTTATCCGCGAGGAAGTCCTAGCGCAAGAAACTGCCAATCAGCAGTCAGCATGCTAGAGGCCTGAATGTCCTAGAACGCTCAGGACTCCAAAACGTTCAGGCTGATTTTGACGAATTGTGAACCGCTACGCGCAGGCCGTCAGTATAAATTGATTCTTTTTCAAGGACCCCCTTCTTTCGTCAAGACGCAACAACTGATGGGGCAGATGTCCGGAATTATGCATACAGCAGAGATGGTGCAGCAGGTCTTGTACGCACAGTGAGTCAGCTTCTCGGCTGTGCTCACAGAAGGGAAGAGAATGCGAACTCTGGCAGGCAATAGCTGACGAAGTGAACTCGAAGACCAGATCTCAGAATTCCGGAAAAATTCCGACCGCGTTATCAATTTTACAGTGTGATATCGAAAAAATGAACTTTTATTTAGACAAGAGGGCTCCCAATCGAGAGCGAAAGGCAGCTGGAAGTTCTGTTTTTTATGTTATTTTAGAGACATCACGGGCTATGCTTAAATCCTGCTTTAGTAAAAAGCCGGTCGATAATTCATTTAAGGATACAGTAAAGAATTTAAAGTCTTTATTTAGTTTTGAGGGTTGCTGGTCAACCGGCGTCATGGGTGGATTAAAATTGAAAGGCAGTCTTATGAGGATTATTTTGAGCTAGCTGGCCGGCCGAATGACGCGCACCCTCTAATAGACCGATCGGGAATGAAAAGAATGGAATTTACCTGTGCTGTGCAAAAACGAGCAAACCGTGCCTCACGAAAACCACTGTGTCAGATTGTCCTCGTCGAAGGACGTGGTTTTGATAAGGTTCTTTGATTGATTAGAAAAACTGAGTACCGTAACGTCAAAAACTGATATAAAGAAAGGCGTTCACTGAAATTCCTTCACTTTAACCGCGAGCGCCCGACTGTGAACATGGAGAATATCCGATGACCAGCCTCACCAGAGAACCCGAGGGTTTAGTCAACGTCCGCAGTGTGGTTCGCATCAGAGTGGGCGCGTGAATGGTTACGCCCGTGAGTTAGTTTATTGTGATGTAATACCTGGGCTACATCTTCCTCACTCCCTTCTCCTCTCCCACTAGAGTCCAACGTAATGGCAGAGTCAAAAGAACTGAAGGCGGGAGAGGGGTCAACTGACTAGCGGCGTGATCCCGCACCTAGGCGTACAGTCCCACTTAATAGTCCCCGCGAGAAGCCCTGGCTTTTACGCAACAAAATATGGGGGCGACACAGGACCAGCTGGGTGGTAGAAGCATAAAAGGTACATTAAGTAAAAGCTTTCGTAACCTGACCCTCAGTCCACCGGCCGACAACCCTACATGGATACCCACCAGGCCAACAACGAGATCTCAAATAAAATGCTGGTTGGCGACCTTCAAAGCCGGGGCTTTTAGTGCAGTTATTTAAGCCCAATACTGTCAGACTGTTTATAATGAAAGATTTCCCGTGCATGAGCCGATTTTCCCAGGTGAAAGTGAGAGAGAAGGCTAAGGGGGCTGAAGACAGCCCGTTTGCGCATGCCACATATCAGACCCCATCCCACACACCAATATTACGTAAAAAAGAAATACTGCATAGATCTTGCATGCAACAGTACAGCTAAATGGAGAGGGGATCGAAGAACACATCACTGACGTGAGAAATTCCCAGTTCCTGGCTATGGTGGGGAGTGTTGAACCTGATAACGTGCATGATGTTGGGGATTTCAAAGGCACACACCTACTTTCCCTGAAATACACTGATACTAATATTGATACTAAGTAAGCGAAACTGTGGTATGGCCTGCTGTGATTTGCACCAGATTTTCATGGAGTAGGATGCGAGTAAGTAGGCCAACGCCATGAATTAATGTGCATGGACAGGGCAGGCAGTTGAAGCGGTAGCGAATGGTATACAGCGAGCGACCTGTCTGGGGAAATCTTAGTCGAAATTCTGAAATCCGTTTATGATTAGGAAAGATTTCCTAGGTGGCGTTAAAATATTAATCGGTACTTAGCATACGCCTTTAATATTTTGCACTATCCGGAGTGTTGGCTTTCGAATGCATTCCCTTTTGGCCTCCTGTGATGACCGCACTCGGTAAAAATGAGTACATATTTAGTGTGCATGTTTTACATTAACTTTGATTGTCTCACAAAATAAGTGATATTGTTTGAAGAAAAGAAAACATTATTTGAAGAAGAAGAAGAAGAAGAATCGAGCACCGGAACAATTCGTTTATTATCCTGAGCTTTCAGACTCGTACAGGAGTCCATCGTCAGAGGTAGTGGCAGAAACAGGACAAGCGGCAGTTATAAGGCACGTAGACCCAATCATCGACCGACGTCGCACGTCTGGAGGTGACTACGAAGGGCTCTGTACGCCGGCGCCAGATCGATAAATCGATTGACCGAGTTCTCATCCGAGGCCCAGGCTTCAATCAATTCTCGGCCTGTTTTGTTTCCGGCGTGGGCAACTATTTTGGTGGCTGCGAAGTCAAACTCGTGACCCATTTCGTAGGTGTGGGCGGCCACTTGTGACAATGTGTCGCCTCGCCTCACAGCCAGCTTATGTTCATGTATGCGCGATCCGAGCATGCGTCCAGTCTGTCCTGTGTAATTACAAGGACAATTTTGACACGGAATGCGATACACTACTCCAGATTGCTCTTCGGGTTTTAACCGGTCTTTGATCTTCATGACCCTGTTGCGCATGGTGGCTTTGGGGCGGTGTGCGATTCCAACCCCTAACTCCGCAGCAATGCGCTCTGTCGCTTCTGAAACACCCTTGATGTATGGCAGAGAATGCCATATCGTCGGTGGCGTTGATGTTTGAGTTCTCTGGTGGCGACCGCGTAGGCAGCGACTTATGAATGCCCTCGGATAGCCATTTTGCACAAACTGGTCGCGGAGATAACGGGCCTCACGCGCTCTATCTTCCAGTTTGCTGCAATGAGTTTGGACCCGTTTGAAGAGCGTTTTCACACAGCTTCGTTTGTGAGCCACCGGATGGTTGCTGTGAAAACTGAGAAGCTGTGTGGTGTTCGTTGCCTTACCATAAACCGTCGTTTCAAGTTCACCGTTAAGGTTTCGTCTGACGAGCACATCCAGGAAGGGCAACTGCTGCTCCTGTTCTTATTCTCTCGTGAATTTTATACCCGGGAAGACTGCGTTGAGCAGGCTGTGAAAATGTTGCAGCATGTCCTTCTTTACGATGACGAACGTGTCGTCAACGTAACGTCGCCAAAACACCGGTTCATGTTGGAGGAAGGCAATCTTTTCCAACTCCTGTAGGACCAGCTCTGCCACCAAACCGGAGACCGGTGAGCCCATTGGGGTTCCCTTGATTTGTTCATAGGTCTCTCCCGCAAAAGTGAAGAAAGTTTGTTGGCAGAATTCAAACAGCCTCATGAGGTGTTCAATTTTGAGGGCATTCTGAGTCTCATCGTACGCCTCTTCAAGTCTCTTGCGCAAGACTTCGCGGGCCACGTTTGGTGGGATAGATGTGAATAACGACGTCACATCGAAGGAGACCATGATTTCGTCCGATTGAATTCTCCGACCTCGGAGGTCTATGAGGAATTGAGAGGCTGATCGAACTGAGGTAGTCGAATTGCCTTGGAGGAACTTCAGTTTTGAGTACATCCACTTTGCCAAATTGTAGGTGGGGCTGCCTTTTAGGGCAACGATTGGCCGAAGTGGGACATTTGCTTTATGGATTTTTGGCAGACCATAGAATCGGGCTAGAGCGGTGTCAGTTGCCCTCATTTGGTGCCATTCATTCTCCGTGATCACATTTTTATGTCGGTATTCTCTAAGCAGTTTACTCAGCCGATCTGCCACTGCTTTGGCTTGTGACTTCTGTGCTGGTCTGTAAAATTCTCTGTCATCAAGAAGGGTTTTAGCTTTTTCATTATAGTCTTCTCTATTCATCACGACGGTTGATCGTCCCTTGTCAGCAGGTAGAATGATCATGCTGTCGTCCCTCCTCAGTTCTCTCATAGCCTTTGACTCACTCTGTGAAATACCTTTGGTTGGTCTGTGTGTCATCAGCAAAGAGGTAACACGCTGTCGGACGGAGTGTTTCATGTCGTCGGATGTTTCACTTCTCACAAGCATGGCTTCCAGGGCTGCAATGAAGTCGACAGGATCGGCATCTGCAGTGTTGAAACACGTTTCATGCTGCAACACTCGTAGTTGCTGCTCTGTTAGCTGCTTAGACGAGAGGTTGTGGACCAAGTTTGAGCTTTCTGTGCCTGGTGGTTTTAGCTTAGTCAGTTTCCGTTCCAAAACTTCTCTCTTCTTGGCTTGCCTGTGGTGCGCCAGAGCAGAGATCGTCTTCCCAAGATCTGCGGCGATAGAATCGCCGAGAGTGTGGACACACTGTCTTCTGTTCTCCTCGATCTCAGCCTTGTACTTCTGCAAATGCCGGTGACAGTCGTCGATCAGAACTCTTGTCATCTGTTTGACAAACCGTCTCACAACTTCTCTTCCCATGGCCGTATTGACGGGAGCTTTATATCTCAGGCATCGTGGGGTTAGTTCGTCTTGGAGACATCGGTGCAGAAAACGTAGCTGCTCGTATGTTGCTGCCTCTCGTGTAGAGAATAACTCCCAGCTGCGAGCTGTCCGAAGCGCATCGCGCCCGAATGTTTCACGAATGAAGGCGAAATTTCGAGTTCCAGGTGTATACATATTTGAAGAAGAAGAAGAGCGCATTGCTGCGGAGTTAGGGGTTGGAATCGCACACCGCCCCAAAGCCACCATGCGCAACAGGGTCATGAAGATCAAAGACCGGTTAAAACCCGAAGAGCAATCTGGAGTAGTGTATCGCATTCCGTGTCAAAATTGTCCTTGTAATTACACAGGACAGACTGGACGCATGCTCGGATCGCGCATACATGAACATAAGCTGGCTGTGAGGCGAGGCGACGCATTGTCACAAGTGGCCGCCCACACCTACGAAATGGGTCACGAGTTTGACTTCGCAGCCACCAAAATAGTTGCCCACGCCGGAAACAAAACAGGCCGAGAATTGATTGAAGCCTGGGCCTCGGATGAGAACTCGGTCAATCGATTTATCGATCTGGCGCCGGCGTACAGAGCCCTTCGTAGTCACCTCCAGTCGTGCGACGTCGGTCGATGATTGGGTCTACGTGCCTTATAACTGCCGCTTGTCCTGTTTCTGCCACTACGAGTCTGAAAGCTCAGGATAATAAACGAATTGTTCCGGTGCTCGATTCTTCTTCTTCTTCTTCAAATATGTATACACCTGGAACTCGAAATTTCGCCTTCATTCGAGAAAACATTATATTTTCTTTTGATGATGAAAGGATTTATCTGGGTCTTGATATATTTCTCTAGTTTTCGAATAATTTTGACATAGACCAGCCGTTGCATTAGCGTTTAGCCGTTTCATTTCACAAGGTGTATACTTTGTGCGCAAATGAAATGACACATTTTCTTATTCCTTGGAGCAGATACTATGTAGATTTAATAAAATATTGTAGTGGATGAAGACTATTTTAGATACTTAGTGAGGTCAATTAGAAGACGGACCGGCACGATGCTGCGTGAACGAACACTGCACAGCCAACTTCCTGGCGAGTCAGAAATAGTGTGGGATTATGCCGTGCAGTAATTAACATTATACCCCCTTTATAAATATCCTCCCTAATCAACAAATGGATTTCAGAATTTTGGCTAACATATCATGAGATAGGTCACTCAATCTACGCTGGCTGTCCAAGGACCGATTTACCTACCTTTGGTAGATAAAATCATAAGTGACTGACCAGGAGACGTGTTCATCTGCGGTGGCAATATGGACAGGATACATTATGAGCTGTTGAATCGGCTGTGGTGAGGCTGCTACTAGTGGTTGGGCATCACGGATGGCTGTAGAGTTGGTAATGCTTAAAAAGGGAGTTGTCGAATGTGCAGCAGCAATCGGTTTGTCTTCATAGATTGCTGCTCCAGTCATCACTATTTTTTCCCAGTACGGTCGCTCCTGAGCGACATCTTCCCCGAACTTGAGGCTGATTTGTGAGCGTTACAAAGAAAACATCAAGCTGCTCTTGTAGCGATATGTATAATCACCTTGTCGATGAGCGCATGTAGCGACATCTCCGTAGAAGAGCCGTTCGGATAATCGCTCGCCGTCAATCTTAACTAGTTGTCCAATCCACTGCAGTTATAGTTGACGCCGAATGAAGTGGACGCTAAGGATTTCGGTCCGTTCAGAGATTTCCGAGTTAGGCATCCTTTGCTGTTACCTCAGCTTTATAATTATCCAGAGATAGTGGAGGTGGAAAAAGCTGTTTCGCGTTTGATTCTTGTAGATTATGCGGGCCTCCGTTCTGTACAAATGACACATTAGACGACCTCAGAATATTCAGAAGAGGATCCGGAAGGCCTTTTGGTCACTGAGACTTAAATTAAATGTCGTCCATACCTGGATATCTAGCAATACACGGAGTTGTACCACGGCCTCGGACTAAAAAAAGGGCTTGACTTTGTTCGATATTGCAGGCGAAACGGACCACAAAATGCAGTGATGAAATTAGGCAGAAAATCGACTTGTACTTCATCATTGAGAAGGCGCAAAACCCGCTCCCACGTCTGCGTCCCATTCAGTGGTCCGCAAGCATTAAAGCTTTTTTGACAAGGGGTTGTTACAACCTAACTGTAGCCGGTAAGCCAGTGGCCGGAATGTCGTAGAACGCCCAATACACGCAATATTTCAGGCAAGTCCGTACGAGGTGCAAGTCGTTGGACCCAGGATTTCCGAATAAATTGGTTTTTTCATCACCTGCCTTACCCATATCCTATCTTTTAGTTCGGAAATGACATCCAACTTTCAAGAGAGTGACACGGATGAATCAAAATTAAGCTATCCTGCTGAATTCAAGGAAGAGCGCGTATAAGCTTGGTACAAATTGTCAAATGTAGTACCTCATTCAATATATACCTAAAAATGTGGAAATATTAAATTTGTGTTTCAAGGTACTGCTGTTTTTTGGCCTTACAATTCAAAATGGCCATAATGCAAACATTAGCCTTGTTAGCGAAGTGGCGAAACATGTCGAAATTTCTGTGACATTAGATTTCACACATGACCTGCGATGTTACAATCGGAACTACTACTTGTTGCACTTAATACGACACCATCCTGCGCTGTATGTGAGGGAAAAGTTTGTGAACCGAGTGATTAAATTTTTGAAAAGAGGGAAAGTTTCGTTTTACGACAATATCAGTTCGAAGAAATTTTTTGTAAAATACATCGGCAACAATGCGTTCCACTGCACAGCTTAAATTTCATGCCGATTGACATGCGCTTTTCTGTAGTTAGTATTTCCATCTATGCTGACACTTCACCTAATGTGCATCCGCTACATTTATCCTTACCCGCCTGTAGTGATAAACTCTAATAGGCATCTGGTACGGCATGCGGATATACCTTATGTTCTGGCGACCAAGCCCCTTTTCACATCAGTTGGAAACGCTCTCACAACAAACTCAATAGGCTGTTTTAGTGCTTCTTTTAATCTTTTCTATAAAATCGCAATGACAGTTTACGTGAAGTCTAGTGCAGATGACTCTTTCTTATAGTGTATAAAAATGCAGCGTGTGGAAGTGTTTATTGGATATCCGTGGGCATGGTAGGAGGAACTGACAAAACCCTATCTCGTCAAAGCTTTGCGCCATTCGAGGACTTATATTTAGCCATGCCAACGTCAAAATAATTTTCGCCAACGCGATTCCTATATATTTTCATACTTCATGAATAGGAGTTTTTAAAATAAGACCCTGGAAGGATCCAGATATTTCAAAATTTCAAATCCAAATTTTTGTATATTTATAGTTATCATAACGGCTTTTATGATAGTAACATAGCGCGTCTTATGGTAGCCATCTAGAATAGGCTGGAGCATTTTTGCCAATAGAAGCGAAAAGTAGAGTCTCAGGAAGCTGTCTTGAAGAAGAAGAGGACACGATCGCTGGGACAAGAGCTTTATTAGCCTGAAGATTTGTATTCCTGCTCGAATCCCTCATCGGAGACATGAGCAGATAAGGGTGGAGTATCTTTCTTGGTCCGCGTTACTGAGGCCGCGTCTGTTACCTCTGTCGGCCATTGTCGGCGATGCTGGGTTGAAAAAAACATAATTTACGCTTCAGACAAATAAAAGTGCTGATCTATCACTTTAATCGCTATCTATTTAATTGCCTAAAGATTGCCCGGAAATGCCCAAGGACGGTAAAAATAGATCAATCTAAACAGTCGTCGAAAATGTGCGTTTGGCGCGTTGAATGGGGCCTACCACGGGTACTTCGTGCTATTAACACATACAATGGCAATATTTTGGCCCGCCTATTTAATCAGATGGGATGAATGATAGAAAGAGCCCTCGTTTACTCTTATAAGCTAAGGTGACACAGGGATTGTGACTGAATATTTATTTTTTAAGGCAAAATCACCAATAAATTGCATGGGGTTTTCGAAGCAGGCAGTAGGAAGGCATCAGCCCATTTTCTGGCAACTTCCCATTTAAGAGCTGCTTTGCTATTTTTTCATTCATCAGAATTTTTTCTCCACTTGCCCCTTATTCAACTTGTTTTTACATGATTGGGAAATAATTGCGAAATCCTGTTCTAACCATTTCATACTGATTACCACAAATGGCAAAAAGCATTACTAGGCTTCGGGAGTCATGCATTGCAACCAAGTTATATTTATAAAAAGACATTTTAGAATGCAAATTTCAGATACAAATAAGTCGGCATTTTAAACAAGACCTCCATTAGCATCCCTTAGATTTTGGTGGCCACAATTAATGTATGCTCTAAGTGGGTTATTACCGGTATTTTGTTGACATGGTCTGACTGTCTACGAAATAGTGACAAAGCTCGGAGATGCAGTTGGGGACTATGTAGATGAACTGCTCGCCTTTGCAGGCAATAGGGTTCCATACATGATTATTTGGTTAGCAAGACTGTTTATGCCCGTTTGATGCCCTATCCCCGTATTTATCGACAGCCTGCCCAAAGCTCCGACGAACACTTGGGCACGTACTAAATAAACCCATCAGTCAAGCGTTATCGCAACTTACGCGAATTTCAAGGTTCATGGCTGGATTAGCGAATGCGAATTCGACCGTCCAGTTACGGAGGCTATTATGTGCCCTGCTGGATCGCTGCGCAAGTAATTTGTACTGATGGGACAGCTACTCCTCTTCCCGCCTCCTGCTCGCCCCTCTTGCTTTGTCGAGATGCCAGTGACAAGACAAACGGACGTGGTCGTGTTCGCAGTGGCGGACAAGGTTAAGATGTCCATCTAAACGGTCTGCACACGACCTGGCCAGTTATGCATAGGACCGGCTCGAAACTCAAGCCAATAACAATGATGGAAGGGCAACACAGGATTACAGTCATTGTTGCCTAGCCCTTAGTCCTGAGGGCAA